CCCCACCCCAAGAGCTCGTGGTTCTGCTCGCCTAGTGTCCTCCGTGGGGTTGGTGTCGTGGGAGTGTGAAGCCGAGCTCCTCACTGGATTTCCTCCTCCTCCCCTAGAGGAACTTGAAGGGAGGTGAAAGGAAAGACTAGAATGAGGGGACAGAATTCATTCTACACGTTGAGGACTGTCACCAAAATTCAGACAATAGTATCGTGCCTCTTTCTGAAACAGTGGGTGACACAAAACGGTGACAGCTAGCTGGAACCTAGGCTATCTTACATGAAGGTTGTTTTGCTTATTGTAAATTTATGTATGTAGTTGTAACTATTTTGTACAGTAGAGGGCTAACGACTGTTTAAGTGGTACAGATTGACATGTAGCTGTTTCATTGGCTGTCTGAAGCGGTGTGAACTGTCTTTTATATGTAGATCTATGTAAGAAACTGCTACATGACAAAAACCACACCTAAAGAAACTTTAAGAATGGGCAGTTACTCACTTTGTGTAATCTGAAATCTTCTAGCTGCTGAATATTCTGAAGTAAATCCCTGTTCACCGAAGTCTTTCTCTTGAGCTGGTTGAATAAAATCGCTCAGTTCTGGCTAATGAAATGGATTTCCTGTAGGGGTTTCTGCATAGTCCCTGTGTAGTCATTATATGCATATGTTTCTGTGCATGTTCCCTACACAGCTTTAAGGTGTCACTGTATTTAACTGTTGTACTTGTCAACTTTCAATAAAGTATATAAAATGTTGATAAAAAATAATTTACCATAATTATGGAAAATGAAGAAATATATGCTAATAAGATTTCTGAGGTCAAAGGTGAATCCAGTGAACGTATTAGTGATAGTGAGACAGATAATGATGCAATGTAAATGAAAAAACATATATATGTAATATATATATGATATATTCTGTTTATATTCTGAATAAAAATACAAAGTGCAGGATGCTAGTCACAGTGGTGTCTGAGGCAAATACTGAATATGTCAGCAACTTTCACCTGTATTGTGATAAAGGTAACAATTTAGGAAAGTCCATTTAACTTGTACTTAATGATGAAAATTTGTGGCCAACAGCTTCAGATTTTTAAAAATTTTCACCCACAACTAATATTAAGAAAGTGAAAAATTTGTCTATTGTGAATGTGTTAATTATGAAACTACCTAAACCCCAAATCTGACAGCTGGTTCCGTTATGAAAGAGAGCTAAAGCAATGAAGGATTGGAACTCAATATCAAAATTCTAACTCTGGCTCTACTAGTCACAAGGCACATGATCACAGGCATGTGGCTGAATATCTCAGACTTTCAAATGTCCTATTGATGAAATGATGGTAAAAATAATTTCTGCTGGGTCTGATACCTTTGCAGTGTTACTATAGCCTCAGAGCCTATGTGATTCCCTCAGTTTAGAACGTCGCTTCCACTTTGCCCTATTGACTCCTACTCATCAGTGAAATCTGCATATTTTTTCTATAAATTGTATTCCTTGTCCTCTCAAACTCAATCAGATTTCTACCTCTAAGATTTTCTCATCAAGTTGACTTTTCCTTTTTACTACAGTTTTAGTGACATGTGTGTTTGTATTATTAGTTTCTGTGTCCTCCATAATACTGAAAGCTCCATGATGGCATACATCATATATAATTTACTTAATAATACATCCTCATCATCACTTAGGGTTTAACATATAACTACTCAGTCTCTGATAAGTGGAAGAATGAATAAATACTGAACCTAAAATACATATGTATGTGCAAATAGGGATAATAAGAACATTTATGATACTGAATTGTCTAGATTAGTGTGTTTCTTCAGGTCAGGTTCTTGGCACTGTATTTATCAAATTCTAAGCCTGTATTTCTATGGAGTTGTATAATATATTGCTATCTAACTATACAAAGAAAATCATACTCTTTGAGATCCAACACCGATGTGACAATGTAAAGACTATAGTTCTCACAGATTCTTGTTTCTGTGGTCAACAAAATGGCATGATGTGATATAGTGTTGTCTTTGACAGAACAACTGCTGATTTTTATAACTATGGAATAATGGAATAGAGTAAAATAACAGCAGGGATTTATCACAGAGGCACATTTTATGTATAAATTTGTTTCTTTCACATATATAGTTTTCACTCATTTTTTTCACATATATAGTTTTCACTCATTTTGTGATAAAAGAGTGGTTATTTTTTATTCCATATAATGGCATCTGTTTGTGGCATTTATATCTCTCGTTTCAAGACATCCCATTACTTTAAATTATTGATGAATAAAGCTTTTCTACTCTGGGTTTAAACCATATTACACAAGAACACATAGGGGTGGCTGTTGAGAATGTCATTCATTCTCTTGCTTCTTCAAAATTAACAAAACAAAACAGAAACAGTTCTGCATAGATTCTTAAAGACATAGCAGAGACTAGATTCTTGTTCACCAAACCCTTCCTGGGTTATGCCTTATTCCCAGCCACCCTGCAGATCACTGTGGTCATGTGACTCGTTGTCAGCCCGGTGCCTCTTAGCCCAGCCTGTGTGAACATTCCCTGCGTGATCCTGCAGGTTCTGTCCTCTTCCACCATCTCCATGCCTAGCAGCACTGCAACCTTAGAAACATGATGTTAGAGACGGAGGCACCAAAGTTGGGAGGAGCCTGGCCCCTGAATCAAGCCCTGGAAGAGAGAGCTACTCACTCACCAGAGCCAATGACTTTGGAATTTGCACAAGTGGGACATAAACTTCTAAATTTTTTTTTATTTTAAAGATGTGGGGTACTATTCAGGGTTGGGTATGCAAATGGTCATTGTACAGGTAAAGTTTGGGCTTCACTTTGGTCCCCATGTCACTTGGTTTGAGACCAGGTACCCTTATTGATGAGGTGTGCCCCCTTGCTCCCTCCCCTGGCAGTTTCCCACTACTGCCAGTCCCCTTCTTATAGTAGTATGATAATTGTTCTGGGTCCACTTATGAGTGAGGACATGCGGTACTCATTCTTTGTTTCTGTGATAGATCACTGAGTATTATAGACTCTAAATCCATCCAAGCTGCTGAGATGTTCATAATTTTGTCCTTCTTTATGACTGCTTAATATTCCATCAGGTATATATGTCACATTTAAAAAATCCAGTCTACTTTCTTTTCTTTTTTTTTTTTTGAGTTGGAGTCTCACTCTGTCGCCCAGACTGGAGTGCAGTGGCTGCTCCCGGCCACCGCAGCCTGGACCTGCTGGGCTCCGGCGATCCTTCTGCCCCAGCCTTCCAAGTAGCTGGAATTGCAGGCATGTGCTACCACACCCGGCTGATTTTTTTATTTATTGTAGAGATGAGGTCTCGCTGTCCAGGCGGGTCTCGAACCCGCGGACTCAGGCAATCCACTCACCTCAGCCTCCCAAAGGCGCGGGATTACAGGCTGAGCTACCGAGCCCGGCCCAGTCTACTTTCAATGGGACATAAACTTCTACCCTGCTTTAACCATTATGAACTTTAAATTTTGTTTGTTATAACATCTATCTTTACCTTAACTAACATAAAGATAAAAAATGGGGGAAATGGGATCCAGGTCTGATTTCTAATCACTGAGTGGTAGTTTTGCTTAATTATTGATTTGAGAAGTCGGGACTTGCATATCAATTACTAACGTTCATATCACCAATTCTACAAAGTACATAACCAGTGAAAAAACTGACTATCTCTAAAGAGATGCCTTATTGACTGAAAACATATTTATAGTCATCACCTACTGTTGCCAATAGGAAAATGGAGATCCAATGTAATTGGCTGGATTTTATCTTGTGTAGCCAATTTCATTTGTTTTTAGTTCAATGTACCTAAAAACAACCTAAAGACACAGTATATACTTACATATTAATCCAGTAAAAATGGTTTTGCACAAGCAATTAACCATGAATTTCCAGTAAATACTCTGGAATTATTTATGAGTTTTGATCCTATAGATAAGGAAGGTTTCTTCTCCCTGACTTTTTGGAGTACTTTCTGAACTATTTCAGTTGCCTTGTTCTTATTCCTAAAGAAACAATTAATTTATATTATCCGGGAGAATAAAAATCAGTTAAAAAAAGAATTAGGCAGTCAGGATGATATTAGGAGTAAACAGTCAACATCTGCTGAATAACTGGGAGACAAGGGCCCTGGCCCTCAACTCTTTACTGTAAGTCAAAAGCAATTCTTCCCCCCCTTAGCTCTCAAGATGTCCAGAGATTAACATTTTCCAAGAAATTTGGACTCTTCGCCATGACTTTGCTGACAAAATATTTATGTCTTTCAACATCTGATTTGTAAAGTTTGGTGAATAACAATCTATCATTTTTTTGGGAGAAGCCCATTGTGAAAATTATTTTTGCACACTTATGTCAGTATTTTGTGAGTACCAATTTGGAAGGAAATTTTAAATAATAAGACCAAAAGTGTTCCCCCAAAAGCTGAGTATCCCCTCTGTGCATCTCCAGGTAAATAAAATGTAAATTCTTTTGTAGAATTTTTGTATATTAAAAAAAAGTAGATCACAAGAATCAATTTTGTACCAGTCAGGTTTTGAGAGTGACTATCTATTCACAGAAAAGAGAAATTCCCTCAGACTGTTTTCATGTAAGCGACTAAAATCATGTTCTGAAATATTAACCCATTTTTCTTTTAACCTTTTCTCTCATAAATCATAGACACTTATAAAACTTCTTTTCCTCAGAAGTTTAAAGGAGTTTGAGGAAAAGAGGAGTACTTACTAGTCTTTCTGGCTATAGATAAAATGACTAGGATTTAGGAGATGGTAATCAATAC